GTAACCCTCTAAGGTCAGAGTTCCTATTATCTCTCTTTTACAGATGAGGGAACAAGGCGCAGAACAGCTCCGTACCTTGCACAGGGACACGTGGGGAAGCCATGAGTGAAACCAGACTGCCTGGCTCCAGAACCCAGAGCCTCACCCATCGCCCAGCTGCTCCCGCTTCTTCTAGCAAGGGGACGGGGACAGTGTGCAGTGAGTGTGGGCACAGAAGGTAGAAACGGAGCAGGAGGAGCAGGCAGTCTTGCTGATCTTTAGCCATGGAGAGAGGACAGCAGTGACAACATCACATTTCCCACATTGGGTCATAAATTCTATAGAAATTCTATGAATAAGAGTCTTCCCAACATCGCACCCGGGGATAAGAACCTGAAGAAGATGCTTTCTTTGGGAATAGAGAGTTTTGATCATGTCTTCAGGATTTTTGTACCAGATGCTCCAACACTGAATTTTTTTTTTTTTTTTACTATCTTCCAGTATTGTTATTGTCTTAAAATAGTCCTTGAGAGAGAAGGAGAAGAAATCTGGCTTTGACAATAAATACCGTTTTGCACAGCAAACACACAGCTAGAAAACCCACCAGCAACAGCCAGGTCGGGCAGACATTCTAGAAAAAAAGTGTTTTCACCCCTGAGTGACAGACTTGACTGATGGGTGTCTGCCATGTCGCAGAATGTTGCATACTCCCGAGGCTCACACATGCTAAGATTTTGGCAGATATATTTGATTCCTTTAATTAAGGAACTGGGAGGATATGAATAATGACTATTTTGTTCCTAATTGATGCAGATCTGCAGGGCACGTGACTAAAATCTGTTCCCAGAATTTTTTTTTCATTACGGAAGTTTTGGAATTTGACTTAAAATATATGCCTATATATTTCTCTTCTTCTTCCTTTTTTTTTTTTTCCCCCTTTTTTGGTAGATGGTGACTTTACCTAACCCCAAATCTAACTATCATGGTCACTTCCCACATAGTGGGAATAGAATTTATCTTTTTTTGGGGGGGGGGGTTGTCCCACAAAGAGAACGTTTCTTTGCAGCAAAAAAGGAGATCACAGGGAATGACTTCCAAAGCCCTGACTCCCCAAGTAACAGTGGGTAGGTGTCTCTTATTTGGGGTTAGGATGAGTATTTAGACAGGGAAGCCTTGTTATCAGCTGTAGACATGGGCAGAAGATCGCTCGGATGCCTTAAGGTAACACGCCTATACATACATTAGAAGTTATATAAATGTGGTTTGTGCTCCCCTGCTTGGGTGGAGATTTTGGCATTATAATGAGGGAGAAGTAGATGTTGGTCTTTCCAGAGGTAACTCCATGGTCCTTCTGTGCAGACTCCTCTTTTTTAAGCTTTTCACTCTGAAAGCAGGAGCCTGGCTTCCCAAAGACAATTCAGTATCCTTCAGGGACTCTGACGATCCAGCTTGAGAACACAGAGAAAATGATTCGCTTTTAAAAATTTAGGTGTAGCTTTTTCATAGTGAATTCTCTGTGGAGGCTTGTTGTTATTGTTGTTGTTTTAAATAAACCAGGACAAATATTTGGCGACTTTAAAGCATCAGGAAATCAGGAAAACATCAGGAATTAAAACTGGACCCCGGCCTGACTTTGGATCACTTATAAAAGACACCCATTCCCTTTGGCCTGTCCTTAGGCAGGAGAAGAGCCTCTGAGTACAAACCAGACGGTTCAGGTTGAATCTTGCATTGAGAATTGAAGGAAAAATACTTGTTAAAGAAGGTTTTTCAACAAGCAAAATTTCCTTGCAGACACTCTGCAGAGGAGAGAGAAAGAATTGGGACGTTATCACAAGGACCTTTCCATTTTCCCACATCTCGCTGTAGAGCGTGCAGGATTCCTGGCAGGAATGCCCACAGCACAGTCCCAGGGTCCGATTAGAATTTGATTTTGGAGCCTGGGTACTGCTGTGTGGGGACACTTAGCAGTGGGGCGTCTGGACCGTGCAGGGCATGAGGCTGTGAATTTTGCTCACTGACAACGGGCCTGTTGGCCCAGATGGTGGGGCCGTGGAGTTAGAGCCCTTGGACCAGAACTGCGGTGTGGCCAGCTGTCCGTTTCCCATCAGACGCTCAACCCAGAACTTTTAAAGGGGCCCAAAGGGTGCTGGTAAGCTGGCCAAAAATGCAGTCATATTTTTATGGGCTTTTTGTGCATTTTTGTTGTCAGAAGTGTCACCTCAAGGGTGTTTGCATCAAGACAACATCTCTAGCCTCTCACACCAGTGTGAGCCATGAGTTTCCATGACTTACAGTCAGGATGAGGGTACCTAGCAGTTTATTGGGTATTTTCTCTGTACCAAGAAATTTTCCAGGCACTTTCTCTGCATTCCCATGTTGAATTTTCACAAGTCCCCTCTGCAGTGTGTAATAATATTGCCGGCCTTCCGCAGAGGAGGAAACAGGCATAGGGAGGTGATGTGACCCACCTAGGTCAGAGTCCGTGCCCTTTATCTTTTAGGTCCTTACCCCAGAGCCTCTCTAGGAAGGGACACGCGAGCTCTGGTACCTGGGAGTCAGAAACCTGGCATCTGCAGCTGGTGATCCCCGGGCAGGACTATGACGCCATCTCAGGGGGCGCTGTTTCCAAGACACCCTTTCAGCATGGTTGACAGTTACAAAAGCTAAGGTCCTTCTACTTTTTTTCTTTTTTAAGATTATATTTATTTATTTGAGAGAGAGAGACAGTGAGAGAGAACATGAGAGGAGAGAAGGACAGAGGGAGAAGCAGACTCCCCGTGGAGCTGGGAACCCGATGCGGGACTCCATCCTGGGACTCTGGGATCATGACCAGGTGGCAGTTGCTTAACCAACTGAGCTGCCCAGGCACCCAGGTCCTTCTACTCTTGCTTTTGTCTGAAGAAAGCGTCCAATATCTGTTAGTGTTTCTTCATAAGAGGTTGGGTCCTTGGCAACCATGATACAAAGCTGGCTTGCTTTCTTACCGGCCTCCATGCTGCTTTATGGAGGCATGAGGAAGGTGCTGATTGGTCTCCTTGGAGAACCAGCCAATGGGTTGGATGCGGAATCATTAGGGCAGTGGTGAGGAACTCTTCCTGCCACCCTTCCCTCTTCCTTCATTCTTGGCTCCACTTCTTCTTAGGTTAGGAAAGCTGGGTCCACATGACTATCAGGTCACATGACTATCAGGTCAGTCTCTTGGGTTAGAAAGTTCCATGGCATAAACCTCTTAAATAGTAAGACTCTACTCTCAGCTCTTGCCTGCCTCCTTTCTCGAAGTACTTAGTTGAGTAAACTGAGTGATGAATCATTGATACTCTGAATAATTGATACTCATGGGCAGCCCCCCTTCGTTTTTCCTCATTGATGCATGAGACCCAGGGATAACCGTATTTCTGGAAGGCTAGCTATGTCATAGTTCACAACCCCCCCTTACGGAGGCCACAGGTGTATAAATCCTCGGGTCCAACCCCTGATTGCTCTATCTCTATCATAAATGTCTGATCAAAGAGCAATCGGGCTCCCCTGAAACTAATAACATACTGTGTGTTAACTAAATTGAATTTAAATTTTTTTTAAAGATTTTATTTATTTATTTGACAGAGAGAGAGATCACAAGTAGATGGAGAGGCAGGCAGAGAGAGAGAGAGAGAGAGGGAAGCAGGCTCCCTGCTGAGCAGAGAGCCCGATGCGGGACTCGATCCCAGGACCCTGAGATCATGACCTGAGCCGAAGGCAGTGGCTTAACCCACTGAGCCACCCAGGCGCCCCTTGAATTTAAATTTTTAAAAAAATTTTTTAAATATATAAATAAGCATTTAGGCTAAAGAGTAATGAGGAAAGCCTATGGAATTCTGGGTCTTCAGTCTCTGGTTAAAGAATTATCCATACATTGTGCCCCTCAAAGACATTCCCTAACTGGTGTATAGCGACAGATTATCCTGCTGATTCAGAGACTACTGTTCTGCCACACAGGCTTGTCTTCATTTCTGGGTTGTTTTTGATTTCCTGAGCAGCTTTGTGTGAGAAATGCCAGGCGTTAAAAATTCTCAGCCCACTAGGAGAAGAACTTTATCATAGAGGAAAACGCCCCATTTTCATGCTCTCCTGAATACTCTTCCTCCACGGAAGAAGCCTCCTGAGTGTCGAAGCCCCGCCCACCCCGGGAAGCCATGTGCAATACCTCTTCCCTTGACCTTATTTCCCACCATTTTCCTGTCAGAGCGTCTCTCCCTCCTCTGTCTGGCTGCCTCCAGCTACTCTTCATTCCTTCTCTTCCCCACTGTTTGCTGAGTGGATAACTAAGCATGAAGTCCTGTTGTTTGTTGAGATCATAATTTTTTTAAAAACACTTCTGCTGGGAACCAAGTGGCCACTTGGAAACGCCAGCTTTCCCAAGGAGACCATGGAACTCCAGCAAGGTTAAGATGTAAAGAACGGAATTCAGACAAAAACACATTCTGGCTGAGTCCTCATGCGGAGGAGCATACAAGCATGTAGAGACCCTTAGTTGGGGGTGTCTGTGCTCTGGTGTTTAAGAGTGTGGCCACTGGAGGTGACTGCCTGGGATCACATCCCGACAGTGCCACTTCTAAGCTGTTGATACCGAACAAATTACCTTGTCTCCCTCTGGCTCATTTCATTCCTCTGTAAAATAGAGACAGTGGTAGTACCTCGTCCGAAGAGTTGTGAGGGTTGGATCTGAGTGACCTCCTTAGAACCTGGCACATGGGAAGTGCTCAATAAATGTGACAAGGGAAGCGTTCACGGAGGGTTAGGAAAAGCTGTGCTTGCTTTAGGTTTGCATAAAAAATATCATCTTGGAACCGTTGTGATAATCCCTACTGAACTTGACCTAATAATAACCTCAAATATTCTGATTTTGCTTTTCCTCCATCCGCCATGCCCTGGAAGGGACGCGGGAACTGTGCGTCTGCATCTCTAGAACTTTCTGATTCTCTGCCGCTGAGACTTACCCCCTTCCGTTGACAGGCCGCCTGGTTCTTTTTCTTCCGCAGGTGCTGGAGAGCTTCAAAATCATGGACTATAGCCTTTTGCTGGGAATCCACATCTTGGACCATTCCCTCAAAGAGAAGGAAGAGGAGAACTCACAGAATGTGCCTGATGCTAAGCGGTCCGGGATGCAGAAGGTCCTCTATTCCACGGCGATGGAATCCATCCAGGGTCCAGGGAAACCCGGAGATGGGATCATCGCAGAGAACCCGGACACGTAAGTGCGCCCGCCCACCTGCCCACCCTCCTGGTCGCGGCCTCCCACGGCAGTGGGTCATGACACGCAATCATGTTCCCTCCATGGGGGCTCTTTGAGAACGGATTCGTACCCGGTGCTAAAATGGGTCGAGCAGCCTTCATTTCTGCTCTTCTCCGGGTAACTAGCTGCGTGGCGGTGCTTCCGGTGATTACCATTCTTTCCCCCGGGTGCTTGCCTTTTTCAAATGGCTCCATTTCGGAACAATGGCCGAAAGTGTTTCTGTCTACCCCCACCGGCTCCGTATTCAAAACGTCCCCCACAACAGGGAGAACATACTTTGAATTTGAATCAACACGTGTTTAAGCAAACACGGGGTCGGGATTGCATTCGTCATTCAGAGCTCCTCATCTGCAGGAGAGGACTCTCTTCTTCTGGATCCTCTACCCACTGGCAGATGTGGTCTCTTGCCTTAGCCAGATGTGCTGGTAACTGCAGGATCCGTTTGCATAGATAAAGTCCACATTGACGAACAGAAACACTTGCCACCAAGGAAAATTACTGCAGTGGCTGTCACGTGCATTTACCAGCTGGGCAAGAGAGTGAACGGAAGGCGTCGCTTTCCTTGGCCATTAGCGATACTGCCTTTTAGGAGTCTCCAACAATGACTAAATCATGGGTATTTTTCACTTTTTTTTTTTTTTTTGGTAAAGATTTTATTTATTTATTTGACAGACACAGATCACAAGTAGGCAGAGAGGCAGGCAGAGAGAGAGGGAGAAGCAGGCTCCCTGCTGAGCAGAGAGCCCAATGCGGGGCTCAATCCCAGGACCCTGGGATCATGACCTGAGCCAAAGGCAGAGGCTTTAACCCACTGAGCCACCCAGGCGTCCCCATATTTCACTTTTATAAAGGAATACATATCATACATATCAAACTTTTAAAAAAATCCTCGCTTCTCCATCTATCTAAATGCCCAATAGTCCATTAAACAAGGGATTCCGTATCAGTATAGGGAACTACAGAGCCATAAAAAACACATTAGCATTGAACACAAGCAAATGTCTAATCATTTAGCGATTGAAGAATTCAAGTTATAAAGCATGTTAAACCGTTGCTTTTGTGGACTAATAAACACCTACACACATGCATTTACACTGGAAGGGTGTACCAAATGCTAATAGTGGTCCTTTGCCTCCTAGAAATGGGTTCTTTTAAATATGTTACACTTCATAGCAAATAGGTAAAAGTATTGCATTTTTAAAGGGGAGTATTTAAAAAATACTTTAAAAATTCATTCCCGTAGTTTTAAAATAGGAATAATTTTTTGTTTGGATTCTTCCTGTCCAGCTGTCCTGAGTCAACAGCTACATTTTCATTCTCCTGTGTGGGAAGTTCAGCATTCTGGATTCCCAGGGAGACCTTACCCGAGGCAAAAAAAAAAAAGAGTGGGAGTCCAGAATTCTTAAAGTTGTCCATTTTTATTTAGTCTGTTTATTAGAAGTGATTTTTAACTTTCCATTATATGCCATAAACTATTTTCTCTCTTGCTCTATCAACAGAATGGGAGGCATTCCAGCTAAAAGCCATAAGGGAGAAAAACTACTTTTATTTATGGGCATTATTGATATTCTGCAATCATATAGGTAAGAGATTTGGGGAAGTAACCTTTCCTTATTTCAAAATAAATCAACAAAAGGTATTCTGAAAATCCACCGAATGGGAATGATTTTACATTCTCATTTGTATGTTTCTGTGTCTTTATGTTTAGGTTAATGAAGAAGCTAGAACATTCCTGGAAAGCTCTGGTCTATGATGGGGTATGTGATTATCATGTTCCTTGATATCTATATATTTTTCTGATTTCTCAGACGTCAGGGTGTGTCTAGGAAGTCGCGTCAGCAGAGAAAATGATGTCTTATTTTTGCGTGAAATCTGGACACACTTAGGAAAGGAGAGGATGCTGGGAAGAAGGGGAGACTCTTTGCATGGGCCCCGGAAGCTCAGGAGGACAGTTGAAATGAGGTTCTCACAAGACTGAGCTGTGGCGTGGTCTGAACCTGACTTTGGTGGTCCACAGCCCGGGATTTGAACCCTGCCAGACTCGTTGGTTGTGATTTGGCCTCTCTTGGCCTAGTTTCCCATCTCTCCAAGAGACATGGTAATAGTACCTAGTACTTGAGTTATTGGGCTGATAGAAGGATAAAATAAAATTATGCCCTTTAGTTTTCAACACAAGACAACGTAAGACATACGAAGTTACGGTTGGATATAGGACTAAGACTGACTGGCATGAGGATATGTGTTGAACTCAGAATTGTATAACCGAAGAAAACAATCAACTACCCACCAACAGCCCCACTCCCCCAGCCCCACTCCCCCACCCCCGCTCTCTCTCTCAACCCACATAACACACATGCACGTTCCTCTCTGGATGTTAGATTTGAACTTTTTGCTGCTGACAGAACGTTTACTGGCCTCAGCCTCCCTCAGTTAATAACCCAAAGTGACACTTCCAAAGAAGGTATCGGTCAAAGATTTGCTCATACCTTTTTTTTTTTTTTAAAGATGTTAGCAGATGCTTTCCTCTGAGAGAAGATAAATTACAGATATCATTCTTGTCCTTTATTGGAAAGAACACTTTCCACTTCCTCAGTTCTGTGGAAAACTGGTAATAACCTTCCAGCATGAAAGGTCTGCGTTTGTCTACAGGCTGAGGAACGGGCTTCCTCAGAACGCACTTATAAACAACAGAGTCACGGGTTTGTTTCTAAGAATTAAATGTAGGCTTATTATTCAGATCAAAGATTCCTTCTATTTAAAAGCCAAGATGGTAGGTTCATTTTTTTCCCTTCCTGATTAAAGTAGAGACTGAATAGTATCTTCACCATGGAAGGGAAATAGTAAACACCTTCTGTTTTCTGAGACAACGTTAATGCCCTGTTACCAGGCTAAGATTTCTGATGGGAATAACCTAGGTCTCCACCAGTCAGATGCTGCTGAGAGGCCCCTACCTTTGTCTAGTTAAAACACATCTTCCATTCTGCTGGGCTTGGTTTTTTTTTTTTTTTAAGAGTATCTCTGTATTGAACATGTATTTGTGGAATTGTGAAAGCAGTAAATAAGACTCATATTTGTTTGTTTGCAAAGGTGCCTCTTACTTAAACAATGTTTCTTCACGCCAAAGAGAAACATGGTCCAACCTCTCTTGGAAGGCAAGGTCCGAGTCTCAATCATCTTGCACCATAAGATATTTCTAAGTTACTTTGCCTGTTATATGTGTTCATTTCAGACAGGAACTGCATGTCAGACCCGCCAGAAATGCCTGCCTCTACAGCATCCCTAACGGGCTAGAGGACCAGTATGCCTTGGTCAAAGAGGCTTTCTCTATACTGTGTCCTTCATAACATGCTGTTTACAGAATGACCTTATGCCTCCTGTAATGCCCTGTTTCATAGATTTAAAAAAAAAAAAAAGAGGCACCGAGGCCCTGCCTTCTTCCTGGATCACACAGCTGTATTAAAGCTAGAACTAACATCAGAACCAGGTCTCCAGACCTCTGGTCCAATGTGGGTTTTTTCTTCCAAACCCAAAGCAGCTGCTTTATACCATCTAAATTTAAATTTTCAGAACTTTTTCTATTAGAATACACAAACGTAGAATGAAAAGGGCACATTTACTATTTCTAGAAATGTGCATCTTGGTTAGCAGATACGTGATTACTGAATAAACATGTAGAATTAGCTTCTTCATCCATCTCTTTTCCTGGGTTTATAATAAAATGCCCCTCCAGTCCTGAAGACTCCTGCCAAGCACGAGAGAATTGAGTTAACAATTCAATTCAGTTCAATTCTATCTAATTAGTAGATAATTCAGCGAAGCGGAGGTCATCAGTCAGTCTTGTCCCCGAGGAGTCTTCCCAGTGTCCGTGCACCTGATTACTGTGAGACAAAACCACACTATTTTCTTTTTAACCTCCATGTCACTCTTACATTAGGGTTGTTTTGCGTATGTCCCCAATTTTTGTCCCTGATCGAAAGCAGTGTTATCCTTTATTTTAGATGAAACACTGGTTGCCTGTACTTTAAAAAAAAAAAAGAAAAAATCTAAAAGCTTCACAGGGCACACAGTGGAATGAGAATCCGCTGTTTTGTTTTATAAAGCAGTGTCCTTTGGCTGGCTCCCCCGTGCCCCTCTCTGTACTCTCTTTCCTCAGGAATATCTGGAAACTTTGCCCACAGTGCCTTTATGCCCGTTTCCCCAGTCTCACTCCTGGGCACGACGGGTCACACAGATGACACGTACTGCTCATTTCCGGCTGCCAGCATCCATGCCTCCTGGCTCAGGACGTTGGGCCAGCAGAGAACCGATTGCGTAGATCTCTCTTCTGGCTTGCAGTGATCTGAGAGGTAAATCTGTGCCACCTGCTTTGTCCTTCCAGGATACCGTTTCAGTTCATCGACCAAGCTTTTATGCTGACAGGTTTCTCAAGTTTATGAATTCCAGAGTTTTCAAGAAAATTCAAGGTAAGATTCTTAGGAATCTTTTTTTTACTTTTAGCACTTACTGACTTTACTCTGGGCAATCTTTGCAAGATTTTTATTAGAATGGTTTGGACTATTCATCCCCAAAAGCTGTGGTGACTTAGTAATTATGATGAAGTGTTCCATTAGGTATTTACTGATGCCATAATCATTAGAGTCCCAGTTTGTGGTAGGAAAAAATAGAAATTGCCTACATGTCAAACCTTATATTGGGTATATATATTATGGTGCAATCTAATGGAATAATATTTAAAATAAAAATCATATTAAAGGTCCATTTAGGGGGCATCTGGGTGGCTCATTCGGTTGAGCGTCCGACTCTTGATTTTGGCTCAGGTCATGATCTTAGGAACAAGATTGGGCCCCATGACCGGCTCTGCGCCCAGCGAAGAGTCTGCTTGGTATTCTCTCCCTCTCCTTTTCCCTCCCCCTCTGCTCCTCCTCCCACTCACATGCACATACCCACATGCTCTCTCTCAAATAACTGAAATCTTTTTCTTAAAGATTTTATTTATTCATTTGTTAGAGAAAGCAGCAGGCGGAGAGAGAAACAGGCTCCATGCTGAACAAGGAGCCCAATGTGGGACTCGATCCCAGGACCCCGGGATCATGTCCTGAGCTGAAGGAAGCTGCTTAACTGACTGAGCAACCCAGGCATCCCATTTAGTTCTTACAGATACAAATATATATAGACACACACACACACACACACATACACACACAGAGTTACTGGTTTGCATACATAAATGCACAACAAATTCTTATCTTTACATTTTTATTTATTTGAGAGATTGAGAGAACAAGTGGGGGGAGGGGCAGAGGGAGAAGCAGACACCCCCACGGAGCAGAGAGTCCGACATGGGACTGTATCCCAGGACCCTGGGATCATGACTTGAACCAAAGGCAGATGCTTAATGACTGAGCCACCCAAGCACCCTGCACAACAAATTCTAATGGGATATATAAAAGCATGATATATCACATTAACAAGGAAAAGAATAAAAACCATATGATCACCTCAATAGATGCAGGAAAAGCATTGGACAAAGTACAACATTCATTCCTGTTAAAAAAAACTCCACAAACTAGGCTTAGAAGGAACATACCTCAACACAATAAAGGACATACATGAAAAACCCACAATTAACACTATACCCAATGGTGAAAGACTAAGAGATTTTCCTCTAGGATCAGGAACAAGGCAAGGATGTCCGCTCTGCAGCTGTGGAAGTTGTAGCCATAGCAGTCAAACAAGAAAAAGAAATAAGGCCATCCAGATTGGCAAAGAAGTCAGATTTTCACTATTTGCAGATGACATTATACTACATATGTAGAAAACCCCAAAGACTCCACCAAAAAAACTACTAGAACTGATTGATGAATTCATTAAAGTCACAGGATACAAAATTAATATACAGCAATCCATTGCATTTCAACACAATAATAATGAGGTAGCAGAAAGAGAAATTAAGAAAACCATCCCATTTACACTTGCACCAAATATAATAAAATACCTCAGCATAAACTTAACCAAGGAGGTGAAATAGTTGTACTCTGAAAACTAGAAAACACTGAAAGAAATTGAGGATGACACAAATAAATGGTAAGATACTCCATGGGCGTGGATTGGAAGACCCAGTGTTCTTAAAACATTCATACTATCCAAAACAATCTACAGATTTAACGGCATCCCTTTCAAAATACCAAGAACATTTTTCACAGAATTAGAACAGGTCATCCTAAAACTTGTATGGAACCACCAAAGACCCCGAACAGCCAAAGCGATATTGAAAAACAAGAACAAAGCCGAAAGTATCACAATCGAAGATTTCAAGATATACTACAAAGCTGTAGTCATCAGAACAGGATAGAAATAGACACATAAATCAATAGTATAGGACTGAGACTGGAAGGAAGCCCAAACCCACATGGTCAGTTAATCTATGACAAAGAAGGCAACAATACACAGTGGGGAAAGACCGTCTCTTCAACAAATGGTGCTGGGAAGACTGGATGGCAACACACAGAAGAATGAAACTGGATCAGTTTCTTAACAGTATACACAAAAATAAACTCAAAATGGATTAAAAACTTAAATGTGAGACCTGAAATCCTAAAACTCCTTGAAGAAAACATAGGTAGTAATCTCTTGGCTATCACCCTAAGCAAAATATTAATGGATGTTTCTCCTCAGGCAAGAGAAACCAAAGCAAAAATAAACTTGTGGGACTACACCAAAATAAAAAGCTTTAGCACAGTGAAGGAAACCTACTACATGGAAGGAGATACTTGCAAATGATACATCTGATAAGGGGTTAGTATCTAAAATATATAAAGAACTTATACAACTCAACACACACAAAAAAATCTGATCAAAAAACGGACAGAGGACCTGAATAGACTTTTTTTTTTTTCCCAAAGAAGGCATACAGATGGCCAGCAGACACATGAAAAGATGGTATCACTAATCATCAGGAAAATGCAGATCAAACCACAGTGAGATATCAGCTCACACCAGTCAGAATGGCTAGTATCAAAAAGACAAGAAGTAGCAAGTATTGGCGAGGATGTGGATAAAAGGGAGCCCTTATGCACGGGTGGTGGGAATGCGAAATGGTGTAGCCACTGTGGAAAAAAGTTCCTCAAAAAACTGAATGTAGAAATACTGATTAGTAATTCCACTACTGGGTGTTTACCCAAAGAAAATGAAAACCCTAATTCAGAAAGGTACATGCACCTCTGTGTTTACTGCAGCTTTATTTCCAATAGCCAAGACATAGAAGGAGCCCAGTGTCCATCTACAGATGAATGGATAAAAAAGATACCGTGTCTATATACGGTGAAATATTACTCAGCCATTAAAAATGGTGTCTTGCGGGGCACCTGGGTGGCTCAGTGGGTTAAAGCCTCTGCCTTCGGCTCAGGTCATGATTCCAGGGTCCTGGGATCGAGCCCCGCATCGGGCTCTCTGCTCAGCAGGGAACCTGCTTCCTTGTCTCTCTCTGCCTGCCTCTCTGCCTACTTGTGATCTCTGTCTGTCAAATAAATAAATAAAATCTTTAAAAAAAAATGGCATCCTGCCATCTGCAACAACATGACTGGACCTAAGGGTATTATGCTAATTAAATAAGACTAAGATCAGTAATACCATATAATCTCACTTCTATGTGGAATCTAAAAAAACAAATGGACAAACTGCTGCTTGCCAGATGGGATGTGGGTGGGGGATGGACAAGATGGATAACGGGGATTAAGAGGTACAAACTTTGAGATATAAAATAAGTCATGGAGATGAAAAGTACAGCATAGGGATTCTAGTCAATATTATGTATGCTGGCTAACTGAACATAATAAAAAAAATAAAAAATAATCCTAGTAATGATATTATGTAGTGATAGATGGTGATCACACTTCTCATGGTGAGCACTGAGGAATGTATAGAATTGTCTGTAATCAATATGTTGTGCACCTGAACCTAATACAACATTGTATGTCAATTACACTCCAATAATAATTTTTTTAATTTTGAAAACTAAAAAAAAACACAACTTTAAAATGCTTTATCAACTGTAATTCTATTAAAGCCCTTAATGCTTATAGGTATATGTTCTTTGTAGATGGAAACTTCCCCTTCTCACTTCTACCCCCAAGAAAATACTACCTAGTCTTCAAGTTTCTTCTTAGAAATTACTTTTTTAAGTCTTATTAGTCTTTCATTCCACCGCAAAATTGAGTCATACTGACATTGTAATAATGTCTGCAAATTGTATAATTTTTTCTAGAAATATTAGTCATCGTAATGTTGAGGCATCACTGAAATTCCCTACCCAGATAACGTGTGTCAAGCAGTAAAACTTAGCTTCCTGAAAGAAATATAATAGTACGTTAATTTGTTAAAAATCAACTGCTCTAAGATTTTTTAGGACAATAATGCATTCAGTCAACCAGCTTTGAGCACCTGTAATGTACCTAACACTGTACTACACAATAATATAGGAAGATTTTTTTTAATTAATTAGTTCCTCCCTCAGTAATTTTTGGGTCAGGGATTAGAACATGTAACAGATTTATAATCTAATGAAGCAATTGCCCTCCCCTCAAAAAACAAAACAAAACAAAAACAAAAAAACTCACTCTGGTTTTATCTTTTCTCCCCCTCACATCAGCCAGGAAATAGAATCCTCTAGAGAGAGGAAATAAACACCAGTTTATACAACTTCAGGCAGAAGACAGGCACATGGGGTTTCATGCTTTCTAGCTGTGTGACCTTGAGCAGGTCGGAACTTCCCAGTCTCATTTGTCAGACCTATAAAAGGGCCCACCTCCCTCGGACAACCGCATGGGTATTTGAGATTTGGTGTGTGAACGTCGCCCTCCAAACCCTAAAGCCTTCTCCAGGAGTTATTGTGATAATGATCATATTGTTACGGTTCTAAAACTGCTCATAGGACACATAAACCTCCCCTTCTCTTAAAGTGGAGAGATTGCCCACTATTCTTTCCCCATCGGTATGTCCCAAAGTCCTGTCCAGTTACGTTCTTAGAGGCCGTCTATGGGCAGGCTCCAGATAAGCGCCATAATCTAAGTCCTGGAGAGCTATCCAAGGCCAGACACAATTCTCTAATGGATCAGCTGTCAGGTCCCCGGTCTGTGCAAACCTCCAAAGGCAGAGGAGAGGCTTTGCCTGTTCAGGGAAAGCATAAACCAGCCTCAACTTCCCTCACTCCCTCCCCTCCACTGGAATTCTCTAACGGTGTTAAGCCAAGAATTATTGCAGCAAAGATGGCATGGAAATGGGGATGGTCCGTCTGCAGCCTCAGCCGCTCCCACGGACGTATCAGAGGTGAAGGGACACCCTTACGTGAGCAGGATGGTTGGTGAAGTCCATGTGCCTTGGTTCAGGTTCCCAACACACTCCTGAAGCTGGAGAATGCCGTTTGCACAAAGGTCGGGAGTGAACGATAACATCTGACGCAGCCATGACCTAGAAAAGACCCAGAGACCAGGAAACTTCAGTGGAAAGTCACTTAAGAGCAAAAAGCAACCAGAAGTCACTGGGCTAAATTAGGCTTCATGAGTATAAGATTAAACATTGGCATGTTTGGAAATTCCCAGTCCCCAAGTTAATAAAACCAGGGTCATGAGAATTCTCGGTTTACCATGTGCATTTACCAACCCACCCAACCGCCTCCCAGCACTAGAAAAACATTGCTTGGAGGCAGAAGAAGTATCCTTTAGCGACAGAACGTTTAAGTCTCCCCTCCGGTAAGACTTGACCTCAGAATCTGGAGACATGTTCCAGTTCGCATGTATTCTAGGACCTTCTCGTTGAAGTCGAGTCATTCTGGACAAATAAAATTGCCAAAACCCAAACAGTTTCATCTCCCTCTCATGTCTGTAAAAGTGTCTTGCACTCGGCTCAAATAATGAGTAATACGTTAATGGGGAAAATCGTAATTTAATAAAAAAAATTAATGTGGTTTTACCGCAAATATCGTTGTCTCTCCTTTTTCCTCCCTGTCTAGCCTTGAAGGCCTCGCCTTCTAAAAAACGTTGCAACTCCGTCGCCGCCCTGAAGGCCACCTCGCAAGAGATCGTGTCCTCAATTAGCCAGGAGTGGAAGGACGAGAAGCGGGACTTGCTGACCGAGGGGCAGAGTTTCAGCAGCCTTGACGAAGAAGGTAAAGACATGTGACTTAAAAAAAAAAAAAAAAAAGGAAAGGAAAAAAAGTCCTTCTGATCTTGTTTATATAAGTGAGAAAGATTCATGATAGAGCAGTTAGAATATACCTGCCCAAAGAAGCAAGGTTGGGGGGTGCCTCGCTGGCTCCGTCTTTGGAGCTGGGTCTTGATCTCAGGGTCGTGAGTTCTAACCCCACATTGGAACTTATTTTAAAAAAGAAAGAAAGAAACCAAGTCTATTAACTCATTTTCAAAAGGATATTTATGGTATGACATAGTTATACAAATTTTTCAAACACCTGAATAATATAATATGTGGTTGACAGTAAAGAGGAAAGAAAAGTTGGAAGATATACTGAGGTATTTAGAATTAAAAGATCCATAACCCACTATTGGGAGGTCACACATCTGAACATTTTTGTGTTTTTACTATTGGACCTTGTTCTGTGTGCCCATACAGTGTGTGTGTGTGTGTGTGTGTGTGTGTGTGTGCAAGTTTCAAACACACATATGCATTGTATACATATGTATACACACATCCTTACAGATACATGTGTACACAATGTAACAATGAATTATCCATTCATTTAGGTCTTTAATGAATTTAATAAAGGTTTTGTGACTTTCCTCTTGCTTGTCTCGTACACCTCCCTTTTATTAGCTTTATTCTCAAATGCATATAGCGAGAGGGCGCCTGGGTGGCTCAGTGGGTTAAAGCCTCTGCCTTCGGCTCAGGTCATGATCCCAGGGTCCTGGGATCGAGCCCCACGTCGGGCTCTCTGCTCAGCGGGGAGCCTGCTTCCTCCTCTCTCTCTCTGCCTGCCTCTCTGCCTGCTTGTGATCTCTGTCAAATAAATAAATAAAATCTTTTAAAAAATGCATATAGAGATAGTCATAGACATGTATTTTCAGTCTTTTCAAATAGCATCTTTTTAAGATTTGGGTTTTCTGGCTGTTTCTTGGTACTGTGTGGCCCTCCCTTCTCTTTCCTTCCTTCCTCACCTGCCAGCTAGGTCTCCCAGAACAATGGTGAATGCAACTGGTGATTGTGGGCAGCCTTGCCTTGTCCCGATTTTAAAGGGAATGTCTCTCAGGTTTCACTGTTGAGAAAGAACTTGGCTGTATTTAATACCCCTAATCAGGTCAAGGAAGTACCTTTTTATTCCTGGTTTGCTGAAAGTTTTTTATCAGGAGTGAGTGTTGAATTTTATCACATACTTTTTCTTGTGTGTTGACTTGATCACGAGGGTTTTTTTTCTCTTCTAATTCTAGAAGAGGAAGTGACATTTTAGACTTCTTTTTTTTTTTTTTTTAATCAGTGTATTCTTTGGAGAATCCCAACATTTCCTGAAAATTTCTTCTCCTTCGATTACATTTGATCTCTTCTCAGGCTTTCCTTTCCCCCGGAGTGGTTAGGATAGGGTGTCATTCCTGTTCCTTCTGCAACACCTCTCCACCGCTGTCATGTGGGCTTTCCTTCTTTCTCATCTTCCTAGAAACCAGCTCAGACCCACATTTAGTGCTTTCGGCCAAGGAATTCATGAATCACCCTTGCTCCTCTCTCTGGCTGCCATTTCTGGCTCGGAGATACCCTTTCCCTGAGGCTCCCCCTGCGCCCGCCTCTCCCCTACCACACGGCCCGGGCTTCTTAGAACACACGTAAAACTGCACAGTGTCTGCGGTCTGGGAGATAGGATTAACTGATTTTTAAACTGTGTTCGTTAAACGTTCAACTAGTACACACCGGATGACATCTGAAGTTAGAGCGGTGAGTCCTGGTGTTAATGTGTGGGGAGAAGGGGGTATAATACATACACTGCCTACCATCCAGAAAGTCTGGAGACCTGGGAAGTAGGGCACAGATTGTGGGTTTTGTTTTTGTTTTTGCAGGTGACTTACTGCACCCGTTGCTTCATTTTTTTTTTTTAAGATTTTATTTATTTATTTGGCAGAGAGCACAAGTCGGCATAGAGGCAGGCAGAGAGAGACAAGGAAGCAGGCTCCCTGCTGAGCAGAGAGCCCGATGCGGGGCTCGATCCCAGCACCCTGGGATCATGACCTGAGCCGAAGGCAGAGGCTTTAACTCACTGAGCCACCCAGGCGCCCCCCATTGCTTCATTTTTTTTTTCCCCATTGCTTCATTTTTAAAGAGACTTCACCCAAAAAGCCTCCGAAGGTTGAAGAAAAACCTACTGAGCATATTCTTTGAAATTTTTAACATATATTATGAAAATGAGTTTATCTGAATAATGCTGTTTATGTACAAAGTTTGCTACTGTGTTTGGCCTTTTTATAATGCCCTGTACTTGGGGGCTCCCCTTTAACAGCGCACCAAGTCATCGCCAGATCCCCCTCGAGTTTTTAATCCTCTCGTCTGTGCCGCTGTCCGTTTTCCGGTTGTCTTCATTTTCTCTGGCCATGTAACAAATTACCCAGAACATCTGCAGCTTAGTAGAACCTCTATTCATTAGTCCACCATGTGTAAATCAGAATTCTGGCCAGGCTTGCCTTGGTTCTCTGGACACAGCTTATCAGGGTCTCAGAAAAGGTGTCAGCTGGGCTTCTCTTAGGTGCTGGAGAAAATCCTCCCCCAAGGTCATCACGTGGTTGGCGGAATTCACTTCCTCACGGTTATAGGGCGGAGGTCCCTATGCCTTCCTGTCTGATAGCCATGGGCCCACTCCAGCCCCCCACCTCCAAGACCTTCCACATTCCTTGCCAGGCAGCCCCCTCAGTCTTCAGACCAGGACTTTCTTACAAGTCAATCCTTCTCTCCGGATCTCTGACCTGCAGACACAGATTTAAAAGGCTCAGGTGATTAGGCCAGGCCCACCGGGACAGTATTCTCTGACTAACTTGAAATTAACATATGAGTAACCATAATTACATCTGCAGAATTCCTTTTGCCCTGTACGATCCAGTAACGGTGAGAGTCCTATCATCCCAGTTCCACCCACACTCAAAGGGAGATGATACAAGCGTGCAGGTCACCTGGGATCAGTGTTGAATTCTGCCTACTGTGCTAGTTTTTTTTTTTTTAAATCGAAAGATACAAGAGCTTGAGGAAACAGCTCTCTGCTTCAAAGAGCTAGTCCTTAAAAATTGGGGCTCAGCTCCCTGGTGTCTGGCCCAAGGCCCTGGACAGATCGTGTCTCTCTGAACTGTACCACTCACGTAGTCTCTGGCTCATGAAGTCAAGACCACAGTCTGCGTGAGCCTCTCTAGTCCAGCTCCATCTGCCCTAAGCTGAGTAGCAATTCATTAAACTCTGGCGGGAGGTCATTTTCCAGAATGCACTCTTCACTACTCTTGAGCATGTCAGTATTTTCTTCTGTATTTAGTAAGAAGGTGGGACCAAGTATGGTAAAGATCGCTAGCCAGCTGGCGTGTTACATGGAAGCCTTTCTCACTTTTGCATGGAGAGCACTTTGGTTACTTGTGTTGCTGTACTGTTACCATCTGCTAATTCATCGTGGAAATTCTTTATGAGCTGAACTGGAGGCAGAGCTGCACTGTGTCACAAAGTGCGTCTAGTCTCCTGGTCCAGAACAGCCCTTCTGTCCTACGCCCTTTCCCTCCTTGCCTCTCCATGTCCCTGCATCTACAGCTCTTCAAACCCCAAATCTGAAACCTCACACTCATGCAATAGCGCCTATTAGGACCATTTTCCCATTCATACACTTCCTAAAAATGCATAATTTTGAGCCTGTAAAGAAAGACCAGGAGCACCTCAAAATTATGTTTTATTTTTTATCCTCTTAGTTTAGTCTAGGGGAAGGATTAAACAGAATCCACAGTCCAGCGTGGTTGACTTTAGTTCACAAAAGTCTATTGTATGTTTGAAAGTTGCTAAGAGAATAGATCCTAAAAATTCTCACTGCAGGAAAAAAGATGTTGTAACTACACATGGTCATGGAGGGTCACTAGATTGTGAGGATCGTCTCACAATAGTAAAGCTTGAAATCAGGTAACGTGATGCCCCCAGTTTTATTTTTGTTTTAATATGGGTATCGAATGGTCACATTGCACACCTAGAATCGATAAAGTATTCTGTCAATTGTGTCTTCATAAAAATTGTTAAAAATAAAATATTTCCCTAGATTTAAAAAAAAAAAAATCAGTGTGAGCCCCACTGCAAAAGTTGAAGGACAGGACTCAGGAGTAACTCTTAGGTCCGTAGCATTCTGTCACTGGGGACGTGGCACGTGTATTTTTTAAGCAGTTCTTTTCTTGGTGACTGGATCTGTCATTAAGATGCTGTCTCTGGGGGCGCCTGGGTGGCTCAGTGGGTTAAGCCTCTGCCTTCGGCTCAGGTCATGATCCCAGGGTGCTGAGATCAAGCCCCGCATCGGGCTCTCTGCTCAGTGGGGAGCCCGCTTCCTCCTCTCTCTCTGCCTGCCTCTCTGCCTGCTTGTGATCTCTCTGTCCAATAGATAAATAAAATCTTTAAAAAAAAAAAAAAAAAAAAAAAAAGATGCTGTCTCTGACAGGCTGGGCAGTAAGGGATACGAATTTGTCCAAAGTTTAGGTGAGGATAATTAAAAATGATCTCCCAATAAGAAAAAGAAGGACTCCACACAGACGCAGGGAGAGTGGGCGTGGGTCACTGCTCAGCCTTGAACATTCTCCTTTCCCACATAAGTACTTTCACATCTACTGTTTGTTTGTTTTTTAAGATTTCATTTATTTATTTCTTTATTGGGCAGAGAGAGAGCACAAGCAGGGGGAGCAGCATTCAGAGAGAGAGAGAGAAGCAGTACCCCCCTCAGAGCAGGGAGCCCGAGGGTCCTGGGATCGAGCCCCACATTGGGCATCTTGCTCAAGAGGGAGCCTGCTTCTCCCTCTCCCTCTCCCTCTCCCTCTGCCCCCCGCCTCCCATGAGAGAGCTCGTGTGCTTGCTCTCTCTCTCTCTCACTCTGCTTCCTCTCAAATAAATAAATAAAATCTTTTAAAAGAGAGAGAAAGAGCTGGCTGTTCGTCTGGGAAGCCTTTGTTTCCTGGCTCTTAGAAAGTTTGAGTACTTGGATCTAAATTGAGAATGACAGATACGCGCATATCCTAGGGAGGGAAAACAGGTTCCCTGTGTGTTTCTCCATTTGCCAATCATCCTGTTAATCTCTGTCGAATTATCCCCTTAAGCTCCTTCCAGCATTTTATGTCATCTTTTGAAACAGCAAATCACTTTATTAGGTTTTTAAAAGCACATTCATAATGTCATTTCCATAAAGCCATTTTGTAAATTAATGCCATTTCCTTTCCGGATAACCTATTTGCAAGAAGCTATTTTATATGTCTTTGGCAGCTCAGAAGAGCGAAGTGAATTCGTCATTTAATTTGCAACCTGATACGTAAAATGAACACTTTGGAGTTGATTTAAATTATTACAGGTACTAAGGCAGCATTTACTACGGAGATTCACGAACGTGCATTGTGTTTCTGTTTTCCAGCCCTGGGATCCCGACACAGGCCGGACCTTGTGCCTAGCACCCCGTCACTGTTTGAAGCTGCTTCCTTGGTAACCACTATTTCATCGTCTTCCTTATATGCCGATGAACAGTGTCCACACGACAGGACTGCGCTCTATTCAAACAGGTGAGACTTAGCGCGATCCGATTACCGTTCCGGTTATTACCACATCAGCATCACGGCTAGACCAGTAGCTCTGAATTGAGAACATGCCGCCCCTGGCGCCCAGGACGTGACTGTCACCTGCCCCGTAAGTAAGAGAAAGAGAGAACATGCTTGATTTTTTATGTGGCAAGAAGCACATCTGGGGGGAACAGTCATTATGTCCTGTTGAAATTATATACTTGGTTCTAGGGAAGAAGACCGATCTTTCATCATTTTTCTTGTAATAATTTCTTATGAATGGATTTTTGAAGCAAGTACTCCTGGCTAATATTGCTGATAGCTGCAAAGATATTTGCATATTCTAAAAAAAAAAAAGATATTTGCATATTCTCTTTTTGTTTGAGTGACGTTAGTAATGGTGATAGGCAGAAGGATGGCCCCCTCCAAAGTTGTGCCTGTCCTAAACCCTGGAACCTGTGATATGTCACCTTATATAGCAAAAGGGACTTTTGCGAATATGATTAAAGATCCTGAGATGGGAAAAGTCTTGAATTATTCAAGTAGTCCCAGTGAAATCACAGGGTCTTTTTGAAAATAGATATATATCGTTTTATTAACACTGCAGTGCAGACAACTTCATGCTTATGTTTCTTCATAGATCACTGAGTCCTGCAAAATTCAAAACTCACAGGAAGCTAGGAGCATTTACAGTAAATGTGTCCTTCCTAAAAATCCTTAAGTGCGCGCCAGTCTGTCCTCAAACAGTCAAGTCTGATTATGAACAGGGTCTTTGTCAGAGGAAGACAGGAAGATTAGAGTCCGAGAAAGAGAAGCGATTCCAGAAGGGAGGGCAGAGAGAGACATTGGAAGGTGGAGCACAGCTGGTTTTGAAGGTGGGGGACAGGGCCGTGAGCCTGGGAATGCAGGCAGCCTCTAGAAGCCAGAAAAGGCAAAGAAACAGAGGAAGACAGCTCTTCCAATACCTTGAATTTTAGGATTTGTGACGACCAGGGCCTCAACATAAGTTGTGTCATTTTAAGCTGCTAAGTGTATGGTCATTTCTTACAGCAGCGATGGACGGCTAACACAGCCCCTCTCAAACTTGTAATGATGGAAAGGTTGAGTGTTGGGTGGGCTGTTGCGATTTCTTAAATAGAGAGTGGATTCGTTATTAGATACGTTTGCTTTTTGAACCAAAACATTGTCAGACATTGATTCTAATAATAGAAGATAATATCGTTACAAAGAGATCACAGTGTAGTCTGTGGGCTTAGCTGTTGGATTTTCTCTCTTTCCGTATATGCAATTTTGTAACGAGCTCCAGTCGCCGGGCAGGGACTACTACGCATGTTTTGATGATTATCCATTAAATGGGAACTAGCTCTCGTTAAAAATCTAGCTCCTGAGAATTCAGGTCCCGTTTGTGCAGGTAAACTGCTTCTTACACCGTACGTCATCCTCCAGCCCGTGCGTCCTGGCTCGCTTCCAGAAAGAGGACTCTGGACAGTAGACTCATTTGTAACACAGGTTGTTTGTAGATTCCAGCTTGGTCTCTGGGCAAGTTCAGGTTTGGTCATTGGAGCTTCTGTAGAAATTGCTTCCCGTTGCCGTTCCCTTCCCTCCCCACTAGCTACAGGTTGGGGGGTGGGTAGCGAGTGAGGCAGCCCGCCTCGGTCCAGAGAAGTGAAAGAATGACAAGCTGAGCCATCTGTCTTAGCGGGGCTTCCATCTAGATAGCTCTGCTGGAAGGGCCAACAAATAAGGCTCCATTATAAATTATTCAAATCCCTGGAACTGTAGAAGAAATTTGGTTCGTTTCCTCGGGTTAAAAGAATTTAAAGCCATCTATACCTTACACTACCGTGGACCTTGATCGTTCAGATTTGTTACGTCACTTAGTCAAGCAACAGCTTTCCTATCTCTGTGGCGGAGCGGAGCACTGTGGTTTTGCTCTCAAATATAAATATCGGCTTGAAAAATGGCTGGAAAGTCATAGGAAGCTCCTTGCAAGGTCAAAAACAATTCTGTGTGAAGCCACGGTGATTTCTGATGGTTTGCTACTATTCTCATGATCAGGGGCACGATATTGGGTATGCTGGCTATTAAATTATTTACTAGGATTTTCAGGACAAGAATAAAAGGGTTTTTTGCTTGGTTTTTGGTTTTGGTTTGGGGTTTTTTTTGTGTGCAAGTGGTTGTGGGTCAGTATTCAGACTCTTGGCAAAAAAAGTATTTAATTCTTGGGGATTCATAAGGTTCTCCTTCCTGACTAGTGTGGGAATGATCTCTGCACGCTCCTGGGCTGTGGTTTAATTCTTGGTACTTTTCTTTATGATGATACTGGTTATCATATGTATATGGATGAGAAAAACATTAGTGTTGTCTGTCATATTTTTTCTTTTCTTTTTTCGAAGTGGCTTGAGATAAATCTTCTTTGGCATTGTATCTCCAAGTTGCAACTTGAAGATTTTATTTATTTTGCATGCACGCACGTACATGAAAGAGAGAGAATGCGCGCACACGCACATGAGTGGCGGGGAGGGGCAGAGGGAAAAACAGACTCCCCCCTGAGCAGGGAGCCCAATATGGGACTTGATCCCGGGACCCTGAGATCTTGACCTGAGCTGGAAGCAGATGCTTAACCAACTGAGCCACCCAGGCACTTCTCCACGTTGTAATCCGATATCTCATATTTAGCTGCCAGTCTGGGTTCATCTGCAAGAATGAGAAACCACTCTGTCTTAGGCAGAGAAGGACTTGATACAAGGAATTAGGTGCTTACAAAGTCTGTGAAAAGGCCCTGAGGTGGACATCAGGAAATCACTCTCAGTAACACCACCAAACTAACCCACCAACAGCCCTATAGCCTTGGCCGAAATCAAGCAGGGGCTCGGACAATGGAACCCAAGCCACTGAAAAGCATTTTGGTGTCCCCAGAATGTTTTTCAAATAAGCCATCATTGAAACAGTCAAGCCGTCTCACTAAAATACCCAGGCCCTTTTGAAAAATCACTAGCTTGGGCCGCACTTGGCTCTGTGGCCTCTCAGCACTCACCAGCTGGAGCAGAGGAGCAGGGACCCTCCAGGTCACCACCTTCTGCTTTGTTCATAGGTGACAGTAACGTTGCCTGCCTTCTCCCCTGAGCATTTCTGATTTTAGCCTGGAGACAGAAGAGAAGCCAAAGGCGTGCCTCCCATCTTAACCACTGCCTTAGGGCGATGCTAAGGAAAAGATGCGAAAAAGGCACAGGGACACTGAAGAGAAGTTACTAGCGTGTGAACTCCTGGGAATCCGTATCCTTACCCACCCTTACCACGCGCAATTCTAATTACTCAACAGGGAAGCCTTACCAACAAACCGAAAAGAAATTGTTATACTTTCTAGCACTTTTTTTTTTCCTTTAGAGCCCTCCTAGACCTATGTGGGGTCTCTTGAAGTGATAACGAACATGATTTTAAGTCTCTTCCAGCCTACTAAGTTTTGAAACCTAATCCAACCAGCCTGGAAAGAAAATGAGTTGAATATTGATGTTATAACTCACATGTTAGGGTTTTCTCTCTCTGAGTCATTTTTCTGTGAAGGCAGGGTGGCCTGTTTTTCCCATTTCGACACTAAGCCTTACGTGTAACTGCCCTTCAGAAAGCCGTAAATACTTCCACTAGCGGCCGTCATTCTGTCAGTCTTTCTAAAATCCCTAACTCTGACAGGTGTCAGTCCGTGCCGGGATGTCTCCGCACCTAAATTATATATTTCGGGGCAAGGGGGCGAGGGGCTGTCTCTGAATTTTTCCCCTTTTGATGGGATTATTCTTTGTAACTGCAAAAACTCTGATAGAAATCTGTTCTTTTTTTTTTTTAAAGTGTGCTCTAAAGATGGAGTAGGATGCAAAGAAAAATTAGTATTTTTAAGGTATACATTGACCCTGATGATCTGAGTATGTGTTTTCACGTTCCCCTGTACAGTTCAGTATCAGAACATGTAGCTTGCAGCAGTCAGAGGCAGAGTGTGGTGGGTGCATCCTTCCTGGTCAAAGGGTGGGATGTAAAATCTGATTTTTTGCACCTTGAATTCTCCTTTTCTAGCAAGAGCTCTGTTCTTTCAGAGGAGGTATAAACTGAACACTAAGAAACGCAGAGGCAAAAACACGTTTTATCTCAAAGCTGAGAATGTTCAAATGGGGATGTTCACTACCATTGTGAATATGAATCCTTTTCATGATTCCCTGCACTGCTGGGAGCAAAGCTGATGCTTGGATCATGTCTAAGTATCGAAAACCCGCCTGTGTCCCAACATACATAAAGCTTCCGCCTCGAGCCTGCCTTGACCTTCATGGCCACTCTGGCCGGCCTCATGTTTTACTAGTGACTGTTTCCAATAGTGGGCTCCCCCAGGAGCCATGTGGAGTATTAGAAGAAGGGCAGTGGTGTCAGAAGAAATGCCTGCCCCTGGTCATTTGCACGTAGAGGGACAGCTGGGAAGGCCTCCTAAGTGAGCAGGCCGGATCATGGATCGTAGAGGCTGAGCCCCAGGATCTGGCTACAGTTCTACGCACTTTTCTTCCTGCTCTTAGAGTCTCTTAAACCCAGGAGAGGGATGGAAGCAAGGTGGAGGGACCCGTTGTCTTACAGACCTAAGAGACAAGGAGAGAGAAACACAGAGATGTGTGACATGCTGCCCCAAGGTCCCACAGTGTGCCAGTAGGAGGTAACTGGAACACAGGTCTCTGGGGCCCCTGCCTCACGTTCTGTCTCCTGTATCACCCTTCCACTAACAGCCTCCTGTCCTTCCACTCTTGTCCTTGCCATGTGTGCTGTGCATGGACAGTTCATGCACCCGGTTTTCCTAATATGAACTCTGCCTCCATAACTGAGTGACCTTTTTGCTGCCTAATAGCTAGGGTATTTCTGTTAGACAAAGCACTGGGCTTATATGAATGCCTGCTCGTGACATTTGTTCTAGAAGGCACTGGCTAAGTTTGCTTATTAAGAACATCATGGCTGGGCGCCTGGGTGGCTCAGTT